TTTATTTATTTATTTATATAATCAACTTAGACTTTTTAAAGCTGCAAAGGAAAATATTTCCCAATTAGTTCGTCACATTGATTTTTTCCAAAGAAAATTGCAGTTATCAAAATCTCACTTAAATGATAATATTTTTTACTTTTTTCCTTCTTGTCAAATTCTTCTCGAAGAACATGACAACAACTGCAATTTCAAAGAATATATTTATTTTCTAGATTCTCTTATAGATGAATTCGATACACGGTTTACTTGCTTCGAGAAACTCAGAACTGAATTAATTTTTTTGAGAATCCTCTTGCCAATTAAAGGACAACATATTGATTTGCAAGATGAATTATGATTTGTAGAACAATATTTCACTTAAAATAGTTAAAGAAACTGATGTCGATTTTTACAAAATATTAAAAAAATTATCATACCCCAAACTTCGTGATTTCGGACTTTGAATTCATTCCATGTTCGGATCATATTTATGTGAGACATTCTTTTCGAAAATAAAACTTATAAAAAATGAGAGACGGTCTTCCTTGAGCGATGAATCTTTGCCTCGTCTTATACGGCTCGCTAAGTGTGAGATGCAAATCGACGTTTCTGATCTCGCCAATAAAAGATTCCGAAAATCAGTATAAGTATTTTTCATTTCACTTTGTTTAATTAATTTGATTGCACAATTCATCATTTTTGTTAGTAGACTAGATCTACTGAGTATACAACTTATAAAAAACGCGTCAATAGTAGTAAAAAAAAAGTTTAAAACGAAGTTTATAGCGCGAGCGCTCAAAGCGAGTGCGCCTCATGTCTATACGTATGTTATACGCCTCCTAAGCGCCGAGTGACATTTGGACTGCGCGTGGGGTGAAAGGTGAGGGGAATAGCAGGTGGCGGAGCCAAGTCGAAAATCGGCCGAAAAGTGCAAATCTTGCCGAGCCTTGATCTAACAAGGGAAGGTTTACAACTGTCCGAAACCGATTTGATTTTCCATGACATATGTTGTTAAACACGAAAATCTAAGAGACACGTATTTTTTTATACGTGCGCTAACTTATGGCCACTTTATGGGTTTATTCGGCATATTTTCAAGAATTTTTTTTCAGTAGTAAAATGCAATTAATTTAATCAAACTTTTCATACTTTATTTGTCACTTATTCAAGATTGTATAAAAATTTTTTTAAACGATTTCACGCATGCGCGGCTTCAAAATGGCGGCTGAAGTAAAGGTGGAAAAAAAAGTTTGGACCCTGAAATCTCCAGTTCTAATCGTCTGAAACAAAAAATCCAAAAAGATTCTTAAAATATATGTTAGTGGCTATATCCCGTAGTAGAATGAAACGATTTGGGCATTAAAAAAAAAATGGC